GAAGAATTAGGATGAAGGTATATTATCCATTTAATATGTGGCTGCTTCATGGACTGGCATGAACCTATAAGAAAAATGGACGAGTTTAGAATTACAAAACACGCATCACAGATGTTCAGTATAGTTAGAAGAGTCTAAAAGATGACCGGAGTACTGTGGCAACTTTGAAAGGTGTTATTGGCATTATTTCTTTCCAATTGAAGCCAAGATTCATTATATAATATGTTCAATTGTAATTTGTTTGTCTTATAGCTGTGGCAATATTCTCTGGTGCTATTGTTGAATGTACCCTTTCAAAAGTGCAAATGCCTAGATGTTTGACTGTTGTTTTCATAATCTCGTAAATAATTATGTATTCCTGTCCATGTAAAATCTTTCATACTCTGCTTGTCAAATTGTTGTTACTTGTCCTTCTTGCTTTATGTTGGAATTATGTAAATTATGTGGCAGAAGAATTTTTCTTCCATTATTTTTTGTGCCCCCTCCAGCTAATTTTTCATCTGATTAATAGTATCTTTATTCCCACATAAACTCAATTTTCTTCTCTATGCAGGTATCTGTCTCTTCTTGTCAAGTATCCCGTGATGACGAAAGCTGTCACATCAGCACTTTTGACTTTAGTTGGTGATCTGATCTGTCAGGTAAACTACTATGCCCTTACGATCGAGATCATACACCAATTAAAAGGGAGAGACTTCGAATTAAATGATTCCATTTTTCCTCTTCTTGATTTTGAGCTGGTTGCCAAAAGCTGCAGGTACATTTGTGATGTTGTTGCTGGAGAACAATTCTGAATGGGATGTCTTCAGTTAATTTTAGCATAGATTAAGGTTGTATTGTTCTAAAATAAGAGCTTTAATTTGTTGAACAAAAATGGGTAAAAAGAGCTCATTTAGCCCCTGTTTGGTTTAGCTAAAAAAATTAATAAAAATCTAAGTCAAAGTCAATAATTAATTTTAATCACGCATTTCATGGACCCACAACTTTTATCAACTTTTCAACCACACGTGTCGTCGTGTTTTATCAAAATCTACTAAAAATATTATTTTTAGAAAAACCAAACAATGGATTAAAAGGACTGCATACTCCAGGAAGGAATTGTTGAATTTGAAGAGTGTATAATACATACTTAGTTTTCAACATCTTTGCCATAGCCCATAGGCAAGCTGAAAAGCTAATGTCCCTGGTCGAATTAAAAATGGAAAGTTTTTAGTTTGATTGCTTAGTCTCATCTTTTTCCTTAGCATGCAAATAGTTTGTTTAAAGCCTGCTTTCTAGAAGCAAAATCTTTCATTTTATGACATTTAATAATATAAATTTCACATATGTACTTCACATAGCACTTGCATTCCTTCCTTTCCACTATACCCCACAAGAAAGAAAAAGGAAAGAAATTGTGCTTTAGATCCATGTAATGGAATTTAACTAGAGTTGAATTAAGAAATTAGCTCTAGATACCTATATAACGTTTTATTTATAACATTCCTGCTTGTACATCATCAGTTATGGAATATGATTACTTGATTTTCTGATGATTAAACTTAAAGATCAATATACATATTTCTTGTATCCAGGACAAGTGGACTTTCCACAATTAGTTAATGTTTTCAGTTGTGGCTCATTTTAATTCCTTGAAAATTATCGTATTTGGGCTAACAATTTCCAAGTATTTTTTAATATTTATTTGTTATATGCCTCAGCTTGTGATCGATCAAGTACCATCTCTAGACTTGAAGAGGACATCTATTTTCACACTGTTGG